TCGGCAACGTGGTGTAGCTGTATGAGCTAGTGGTGGAAGCAACGAGGTGCAATCCTACAGCCTGGAAATAATACATGAACAAGAAACTTGAGGTACAATGAGGTGCAATCTACGAAGTAATGAGGTGCAACATCTGATCAAGAGAATTGTCGGATAGGAAACCTGGGACGGAGTCCCAGAAGTCTTTTAAGACAAACGTGGGCCAATTTCTGGTATTGACGCTGGAGGGACAAGCCCGCTCCAGAAGCTCGGGGCCAGCTATCCGGCAGGCAGGTTGGCTAAGAAGCCTGGGCCTGGCTTCTCCCGAGGAGGTTTCTTCATGAGATGCTTGGCTCTGCGTGGTGCAGGCTATACCAGCTAATCGTGTGGCGCAGGCACCAGCTCGCCATCGCTCGGACGTCCACTCCCCGTGCATTTTTCGGTCTCGTGCGTGTTTGTTTGCCTCGATGACCCCGGCTGCTCCTCGATGGCCCTCCCCGAGGAAAAAAATGCACACGTCCGAGCGGTGCCAGGCCAGCGGCGCCCCTTTAGGCGCCCACGGGCGGGCACGCGGCCAGCACCCAGCCCCCCCCTGGAGGGCGCACGGGGCGCCCGGCAGGCGCCCGCGGCCGGGGGCGCCTGGCGAGAGCCCGACGCACTCGGCCAAGCACTCGGGAACTGAACGAAGAACCCCCCCCCTCGGCAGCGAGCCCCGGGGGGGGAAGTGAGACGTGGCGGGCCTTCTCAGAAGGCTCGGAAGTCCCCAAGCCTTCTTAGGGAGCCCACAAAGGACGTACGCGCCCAGCCATGTACATGAACACGGCCCCTCGATCTGCGAGACCGGCCGCGTGATACGAACTTTCGAGCAATGCGTACTCTCGAAACCAGCGTGGATTCATGTACGTGTACGTCCTTCTTTCGCTCCTGACTTCTGATGCATTTGTTTAAGCCTTCCCGAAGGCACAGGAAACCTCTCAGAAGGCCAGAGGCCTTCTGAGAAGTCCCGCTGCCTTCTGAGAAGGCCTTCTCCTTCGCACTTCCCCCCCTCGCTCGCCGCCGACCCACACCCCAGCTCAGAGCTAAGAACACTCTGCGTTAAGAGAGTGGGCATCGCTCGAAGCGTGCTCTTGACATAGTACAGTCCAGGTCCAGGTGCACGGAGGTTCTGCAGCAAAGAGAGGGAGCTCCAGGGAAACTCCCGGGGGCCGGCCCAGACTCCGGACCTTCTTGGGCGGAACCTGGAGCCCGCGAAACCTGATGCTGTTCCTGAGATGTCTGAAGGCTGCACGTGCAGGCACCGTCTGGGGGAAAAGCAACCCGCCGCGACCTCTCTCGGCGGTGGACAAACCTCCCTTTAGCAAACCTCCCCTCAGCGAAAACGGCCTGGGACCGAAACCGACGGACCCGGACCCGCAAACATGACGGCCGCGACGCCCTCCCGCGAGCCGAAAACGGCCCATTCACGAATCGACGTGTCAGGGCAGGAGGTCTATCCACCTCCGACCCTCTGGGCGCCCCCCCCCCCAGTCGTCGTGCTGCCGGGCGGCGCCCGGGCAGACCTCCTCGGCCTCGCCGAAGGCGTTCACGCAGGTGTCCAGCAGGTCCTCCTCCGGCAGCGGGTCGACGAAGACCTCTCCGGCGAGGCAGCGGCGCCCCGCCGCCCCGGCGCTATAGGGGGTGCCGGGCCGGCGCTGGGCCGTCTGGGCACGGGCGGCACGGCGGCTCGGACAACTCGGGGGGGCCATCGGCGACGACCCCAGACAGGCTGGCGTACACCCTGCGAAATGCTCAAGAAATCATGGGCTCAGAAATTCACAGTCTCCGAAATGGAATGAAACCCAGGACTTCTATCAGAATCTTGGGATTTACATTGAAAAGTTAAGAATAATCGAGACTCTGGACGAAAACCTAGGTTTTCGTAAGCATCGCCTAGGGTGTAGTCAAGAATCGCGAGGGGAGGCTTGTGGCCGTATTCGGCCTCGGGGTGCCCTGGCCGGGCCCGAGGGCCGCCAGCGAACGACTCCAGAGGAAGCATCGAGCTGGGTTGGGCTTCGCTTCTGTGGGGGGGGGGGGGCGAGAAATGGAGGAGGGGGGAAAGAGAGGTGCCCGTTGCGGGCCCTCGGAAGCCCCCTTGTGGGCCATGAGTGGCCCTTTTTCTGCAGCCCTCGCTGCCCCCCCATTATCGCCCACCCATTGCGCGGCCTCCAACTGGGGAAATGCTCGGGACTTCCAAACACCCAGGTCAGTCGGGATTTGCAGGAACTTCCAGGATACTGCACGATCCTACAGCATCCTGCACCCAAGCCCCAGTTCATGCGACCCTCGCCCTGCAGGATCCTGCAAGATTCGGCGCCCTGGCTGACCCCCGTTTGCATTGACCCCCGCCTCTTGAGCCCCGACTGGGGAAAGGGTCGGGACTGCCGATGACCGCATATAGACAAAATTGAAACATCGAACGTCTGGGACCGTGGCCCAGGAGTGCGAAAGATGTACGATCGGCCGACGCGCACGCAGGGATACAGCAGGCCCTCACCGAGCCCTGGGAAACGACTCGGGATGAAAAAAAACGTCCCCGAAAGAGGTCCAGACCTTTGCAGGGGGCCGTTCCGGACCCAAAGGAGCCCTTGAGGGCCCGAAAAGGACACCGTTCTTCCCCCCACAGTCATCGCCCCCCCATGAAGCGGCCTCCAACCGGGGAAAGGGTCGGGACTTCCAGGGACCGCCGCCGCCGCCGCCGCCGCCGTCGACGACACCACCTTAGCCGCGCAGCCTGCGCCGCCGCTGCCGTCGACGTCGTCGACGACGCCGACGTCGACGTCGTAAGGGTCGGGACTTCCGGGGACCGCATGTTGACAAAATCAGATAGAGCGTGATCCATCGCCGCTTTGCTGTGGAATATTCCCCCCCTCTTTCTGCGGAGCCCGAGTGTCCCCCCCACCCGAAATCCCCCCTCCATCCGGTTTTCGAGGGGGGGGACGGGTTGGAAACACCCAGTGGCCCCCCCCCTGATTTCTGCCAGCAGCGGCAGAATACACTCTTTCCAAAGTCAAGACTCCGCACATCTGAGGCCGTGGCGGCGGGGGGGCGGCGGGGTCGAGCGCCTGAAGACCATCGTCGCCGAGGCTGGGCGCAGCCTGAGAAACTGGCCATGACTGCACCCCCCAGGGGGGCAGTTTTGAGCCGATGTTGCAGCAAAATCTCATTGAACAGAAACATAGGAAACAACACCCATGTTCACACCTACTTCCCCCCGCTCTGTATGCCCAACTCAACCAGGCTATATAGCCACTTGCCCATACAAATTTTGCTCGGCAAACTGGCCAGGATTGTACCCTGTGGGGGACCAGTGTTGAGCCGATTTGGGTCGGTGATGGCGGACCCGCTCTGGGGAAAAGGTCTGACTTCCGATTGCCGCATATAGACAAAGTCAAGACACCGCACGTCTGGGGCCATGGCGGCGGAGGCGGCGTCTTCGCTTCGCGCAGGTGCTCGAGAGCGTCCGGAGAGAGACCTCGTCGCCAAGGCTCTGGGCGCAGCTTGAGACACTGGCCAGAACTGCACCCCTCGAGTAGGGGATCGACCCCTCGTGGGGGGGGGGGCCAGGCGGGTCGTCGACGTCGTAAGGGTCGGAGCTTGCGGGAACCGCGTATAAACAAAGTCAAGACACATCGCACGTCTGGGGCCGTGGCGGCGGCGGCGGCGTCTTCGTGCTCCGCAGGTGCTGCTCGAGCGGCGTCCAGGGAGAGACCCTCGTCGCCGAGGCTCTGGGCGCAGCTCGAGAGACTGGCCAGGACTGCACCCCTCGTGTAGGGGATCGCCAGCAGAATTTGCGGCGTGGACGAGCAGGGGTCAGGGGGGGCGGGGGGGGGCGGAGAAGTTCTCCCACAGAATCGACCGCACGACTACAAGGAGAAAGAAGAGGACGCCCACGCGGAGCAGGGCCAGGACCACGCCTGTCCGCGCTGGGCAAGAGCGACGGCCGGGCGCGCCAGCAGAGCGACCCCTCCACCAGGTCTCGAGCAGGGGATCGACAACAGAATTGATGTACCCCAAACTTGGCTTTGTCGTCGAATCTGCGCAGAAGGCACCGAAGGTTCGTACATCTACGAGACGCTCTGCACACGTTTCGCAGACCCGACGACAAAATCAACCTTGGGGAACTTCGGTTCTGCCGTCGATCCCCTGCTCCTCGAACCCCGCGGGGGGCCGGTGTTGAGCCGATCGTGGTCGGCGACGGCGGGGAGCCTGCAGCGAGCCCCGGCAAAGCCAGGCGGGGAACACAGAGAGGCCCTCCTCCTCCTCCTCCTCCTCCTCCTCCTCCTCCTCCTCCTCCTCCTCCTCCTCCTCCTCCTCCTCCTCCTCCTCCTTCTCCTCCTCCTCCTCCTCCCCCGCCAGGGCGTGTGGTGTGCGGATGCCCACGGCCCGTGCGCCCTGCAGTGGCGAGAGGAGAGGAGGAGCACACACGGAGGCCTGCCACATCGCTGGGGCGGCCGTTCCCCGTGCATTTCGTGTCGAGCTCGTGCGCGCCTGCTTGCTCGCAGGGTGGCCCAGGATACTCCTCAGTCCCTACTCCTCCTCCTCCCCCTCCTCCCCCTCCTCCCCCTCCTCCTCCTCCTCCTCCTCCTCCTCCTCCTCCTCCGCAGGGCCCTCGCCGAGAGGAGTGCACACGTCCGAGAGATGCCAAAAGAAAAAAGGGGCTCACGGAGGGTGGGGGGCCGTCGACACCCGCCGAAGCAGCACCGCGGCGTCCCGGGAGAGAGGTCCTTCCATAGGGGGCGCCTGCGAAGCGTCTCTTGGGCTGCCTGGGGCGAAGTCTGGTGCCCTCTCGCGCGGTTCTGGGGCCGATGGTGCTCGCCCGGCTGGGAGGAGCTCCGGGGAAGGGAGGAACGCCCGGCGTTCCTCCGCGCCCTCTTGTGTGGGGGACGGGCCGCGGGCCCTGGGCCACTTTTTCGCGCAGGTGCGAGATACTGACTGTACATTTCTTTGCTGGGAGGAGCGCGGGGAGAGAAGTGCGCATAGCTTCAAGACGTTTTGGCCTGCGCCAGGAACTGCTCTACTCGCAGCAGAACGTTGCAGCCGCTGGCCGACCGCGCAGTCCCCGGAGTGGAACGACCCAAAGCCCGCTGGCTGTCACTTGTGCAGACTTTCCGCTCATCGCTGCACAAGGGCGTGCTTGTGCGCACCGTGCAGCCAAACGCCCACGCATTGCTGCAGCCAATCGCTGCGACGTGGTCGCAAAGCCGACCACACTCGTTCAGCAAAATCCGCCACCGTGCGGCTGGGCCCGGAGTTGGCGTGTCCTCAGGTCCTTTGCCCAATCCTCTAAGCCTCAATCCTCACTCCCGAAGAGTCTTCAAGGGACCAGACACCCAAATTCCCGAATTAGGCGGGGCTTGTCGCGTCTTGTCGCTTGACTTTTTCGGAGCCAAGAGGGCCCCAAGATGGGCCAAAAGCGTCCCAAGAGGCACCAAAACGGTCTTAGAGGGCCCCGAGTCGCCCAACGATCGCTCCAAGACGCTCAAGATGGCCCAGCCGTTCCAAGAGGCTCCAAGACGCCCTAAGAGGCCTCTAAGAAGCCAAAGTTGTTGTTGAAAGATTTGGGCGTTCTCGCCTTTTCGGCTTCCCGACGCTCCAAGACGGCCCACGAGGCACCCACGACGGCCCAAGACGACCCCAGAGGCCCCAAAGAGGGCCCCAAGACGGCCCGAGAGGCGCCCAAGAGGGCCCAGAGACTGTCCCAAGAGGGGGCCCAGATGTGGAACCCGAACGGACATTTCGAGCCCTTGGCCCCCAAGGGGCCCCCTGGACTCCCCAAGAGGCCCCCAGGAGGCCCCCCAGATGCCCACAAGAGCACCCCAAGAGGCCCAAGAGGCCCCCCAGAGCCCCCCCAGAGGCCCCCAAGAGGTCCCCAAGGTGCCCCCAAACTGCTCCCCAGAGGCCCCTGAGAGCGCGCCGAGAAGACCCGAAGAAGCATCCCTGAGAAACCTTCGCCGGGGGGGTCTCGGGGTGGGTCGCGGGCGGGTCGCGGGGTGGGTCGCGGGTGGGTCGCGGGTGGGTCGCGGTGGGTCGCGGGTGGGTCGTGGGTGGGTCGCGGGTGGGTTGCGGGGTGGGTCGCGGGTGGGTCGCGAGGAGGGTCGCCGGTGGGTCGCGGGTGGGTCGCCGGGGGGGGCTCGGGGTGGGTCGCGGGCGGGTCGCTGGGTGGGTCGCGGGTGGGTCGCGGGTGGGTCGCGGGTGGGTCGCGGGGTGGGTCGCGGGTGGGTCGCGGGGTGGGTTGCGGGTGGGTCGCGGGTGGGTCGCGGAGTGGGTCGCGGGTGGGTCGCGGGGCGGGTCGCGGGTGGGACGACGACAACAACAACAAACAACAAACAACAAACAACAAACAACGAACAACAACAAGCAACACAAACAACACAAACAACAGCAACAACAACAACACCGCCAACAACAGCAACACAGCAGCAACAGCAACAACTACAACAACAACAGCAGCAGCAACAACAGCAACAGCAACAACGACAACATCAACACCAACAACAAACAAACAAACAAGCAAGCAAGCAAGCAAGCAAGCAAGAACAACAACAACAACAACAACAACAACAACACCAACAACAACAACAACAACAACAACAACACCAACACCAACACCAACACCAACACCAACACCAACAACAACAACTACAACAATAATCTGCATCGCGGAATTCCACTTCAGCCACGCATCAATGACCGTTCGGTTCAGCCCCCTCACTCTGACCAGTGTCTGCCCGACACACTGGCGAAGTGTCGAACGAGCATCGCCTCTCAGGGCCCGGCACGTGAAAACCCTCCAGTTTCGACATTTTTTGGTGCTCGAACTTTTCTGGCGATCAAAACTAAAATCGACTACGCGCAAGAGAAACCCTGGGTAAGAGTGACCTTTGGTGCGCGGCTTTCTGGGGGCCGCGCGGGGGCCAAACACAAGCGCGCAACACGGTACTGCCGCATCGCGGTCGGCGATCGGGTGACCCCATTGGGCCCGCACCACAGGTCACTCCGGCGAAAGGTCACCATTACGTTGAGTAGGGCCAGGGGATCAGGTCTGCAGAACACCCCGAACGGACGTCAAGGGGTGCAACCAACCTGTTCGGTCAAGCCGAAACTGATGCACCGCACCCGGCGTCAAGCCACACCTTTGGACATAAGCGAGTGGTTGGACTGTGCACATCTTCGCCGGCTGAACCGGCGAGGCGCTTGACCACCTTGGCGTCCTTCTTTGTGGTGGACTTGCAGAGGAAGGCGCCCTCTGACCCTCGGCCCTGCTCAACTCTTACGTGTAGCTGACACACTGGGATGGAACTTTGGACGCCCGATATGGGTACGGAAAAAAATTGTACAATGCCCAACAGCAAATTCTGTCCCAAACCAACAGCGGCCGCTGTTGGGCGGGCGGCCTCCTGTCTCGAATGGACACAGGCCGCGGCGGCGCGGACAGCGAGCCCTGCTCAGAATGAACAAGAACTGCTGTTGGGCATCGTACCCATTCTTTCCGTGCCCATTTTGGGCGTCCAGACTCTTTGAGTGTATGCGTTGAGCAGGGACCGACCGTCCCGGCAGTCCTATAGTCCTACCACGAAATGAACCCAAAAATGTTCTTAGAAAAGCAAGGTTCTTAGAACAGAGGCCCGACGTGATAAAACAAGACCGCCTCCGCCAGAAATGCTCTGAGAACATTTCGTGGAAGCCACAAAAGGTTCCTAGAACATTCTTTGGTAGGGCTATAGGCGAGCCGGGACGCTTCGCCACTGCTTGACTCCTTGCCGCCCCCGAGAGCACGTCTGCAGGCTGGCTGGACGCAGCCCCGGCTGGCGCAGGGCGGTGCCGCTATGGCGCCGGGCCGCCTCACCGTGGCGAGGAGCCGCCCACGGGAGGGCGGCGCACGGGGGCCCTCCAGCAGGGCGAACCCTCCTGCGAAGGGGCCCAGGGACACACACTTTTTCGGTCGGCGGGTCGGGAGCGGGCCCCTTCCGGTTAAGAGCTAGAGATAATGCGCCCTCCCCGGCTCGGCGGCAGAGGCGCGCGCGCCGCTCCCGGCCCCCAAAGGCTCGGCCCCGCACCGGCCCAGGGCATCGGTGCGGGGGGCGCGCGGCCGGCGCCCTCCGATCCCATGCGCGCATGCCACGCCTCGGCGATGTGGGCCACACCCTGACCTTCCAGGACGGCTAAAACATGGCATCCGATTAAAAAACCTATCCCAAAGCTATTCTACGTCTTGGTTTTAGGCTGTTTCGCTCCGCTTTTTAGGCTTTCAGGTCTCCAGTGCTAAAAAATAGCTCTCTGGAAGGTCAGGGCAGGCGTCCCGAACTCGAACCTGCCCCCAGGGCTTCGAGCAGGGGGTCTGCTACAAAATGTATTAAAAACCTAATTTGCTTCTCGTCGAATTTGCATGCGAGGAAAAACATACGAGAAGCAAGACAAACAAACATATACTGCTTGTAGATCTCCGAACACGTTGCGCATACCATATGCATGCCACGACCCGATGTGGTTCACAGACGTCCCGAACCTGCCCCCGGGGCGTTCTTGATCTCAAGCCGTTGCTTTATAAGATGAAAGACGCGCATAAACATAAACTTTCGCTGGTCCGCACGGATATCTTAGATCTGCGCTGGACCCCTGAGCGCACTAGGAGCGGCGCCGGAGGCGCCGCTGGGGGGCCCAGCCCGGATCCAAGAAATCCGCGCGGAGCGCCAGCAAATTATATGTATGGCGCTTTCCTTCTTCGATCCTTGTCAGCACTGGGGCCCGGCGAGAGCCTGGCCGAAAGTTGACACAACACCTTCCCTCGGGTCGTTCGAGTGGGGGGATCGACTACAGATTATATTCTCTCCCAAAAAATGCTTGCTCGTCGAATCTACACAGCATGTGTAGATTGTTCGTGCATCCACAAACCTGCGACGCACTTCTGGGGAAGATGCGACGAACAAGTCAGCTCTGGAATAATCCAGTTCTGTAGTCGATGCCCTGCTCGAGTCGTGGTTGTCTCACGGCGCGAGCATCGGGGCGGACAAGAGGGGGGCGTCCAAGAGGGCGGGGCGCAAATGATGAAGCGGCACGTGCGCGGCCCCAGGGGGGGCCGCGGACGTGCTGATATGAGAAGAGGCGGCATGAGATCTGGGGAAATATCATGGCCCCCGCCATGATATTCCCCCCCCTACTCCGCACCCCCTCTTTTGAGCAGGGACCGACCGTCCCGGCATTCCTATAGTCCTACCACGAAATGTTCTTAGAATCCCAGATATGTTCTAATAACAAAAGCAATGCTCTTAGAACATAAGCCCGAAGTATGAAAACAAGACAGCCTCCGCCAGACATATTCTGAGAACAGTTCGTGGAAGCCAAGGGTTCTTGGAACAGTGTTAGGTCGGGCTATAGGCGAGCCAGGACGCCTCGCCACTGCTCGACTCCTTGCCGCCCCCGAGAGCACGTCTGCAGGCTGGCTGGACGCGGCCCCGGCCGGCGCAGGGCGGTGCAGCTATAGCGCCCGGCCGCCTCACCGAGGCGAGGAGCCGCCCATGGGAGGGCGGCGCATGGGGGCCCTCCAGCAGGGCGAGCCCTCGTGCGAAGGGGCCCAGGGACACACACCCACACACACACACAAGTAGATAGGAAGAGGTCCTGGAAGTCCCACCCCCAACTTTCCATACTTCCTGGATCTTCGTCTGCCCCCCTCCCACTTCCCCATGATTCTTTCCCAGATCTCCAAGACTGCCACGGGGACCGACGATTCTGTGTGTCTGTGTCTTTTGTCCTCCTGATCGAAGCCGGACGACGGTAAAATCGAGTAAGGGTAAATCCAGAATCCCTGAAATCCAGCGGCTCTGGAGGATGCCTCGGGCGCAGCGGCCTTCTCAGAGCCTTCCGGAACGCTCTGAGAGCGTCCCGAAACGCTCTGGAACGGATTCATCCTCGTCTTAACCCCGCCAGACCCATTCTCTCCCTTGCCCTCCTCCGCCGAATCCTCCACACCCCGAAGAACTCTCGAGACCTCCCCCTCCCATTCCACGCTGGACCCGCCCGACCCCTCCTCCCCCTCGCCCCGCTCCTCTCCTCTCGCGCCCCGCCCCTCCCGAGGCCCTCGACGACGACGACGAGGACGACGACGACGACGACGACGACGACGACGACAACGACGACGACGACAACGACGACGACGACGACGACGACGACGGCGGCGGCGGCGACGACGACGACGACAAAAGACGACGTCGGGCCCCTGGCGTGGACTCCTCCTCTAGGGGAACAAAAAGTGACATAAACATAAAAACTCCGAGGTCCGCGCGGATTTCTCGGATCGGCGCTGGGGCCCCCCGGCGTCGCCTCCGGCGCCGCCCCTGGCGCGCTCCGCGCGCCAGGGAGGGGGGTCCAGCACCGATCCGAGAAATCCGCGCGGACCTCGGAGTTTTTATGTTTTTGCCACTTTTTGTTCCCCTATCCTCGTCCCAGCCCCGCCCGATCCTCGGCGGCCATCTCCCGAGAGGGGAGCCCCCTCAGCGGGCCGAGCCCTCCTATATATCGGAGGCGGGCCCGGGCCGCCGGAGCCCATGCGCGGAGCGGCCGCCCGTGGCATAAAGGACCCTCGAGCAGGGTCGACGCGTGCAGTCGGCTCGCACCACAAGGATGCGCGACAAGGTCGCGAGGGCCTTGGAAGGACATTTCGAAGCTTCTCGAGCGGGGCGCGGCCAACGAAAGTGGTCAAGGATGGACCGAGGAGGCAAGGATGCAAGCGTGCCCTTGGGAAGGGTGCCCATCCCTACTACGCGGGCTCACTGTATAATAGCTATGAGATCGCTGCATTTCAATGTGAGCCAGGCGTTTTCGCTCAATTTCGGGCCCCAGGACCCTCACATATCGACCCGGCTCGAAACATGGCGCAGAAAGATAGGGTCGGGGGCCCAAGTCGTGATATTTCACGAGGTCTCAACTTCTCGAGACGTCGGATCTCAGGGAAGGGCGCGCGATAGGGCTGCAAGGGCCTTCGAAGGCCATGTGGACTCTTCGCCGGTGGGGCACTGCCAGCGAACGCGGCCAAGGATGGGCCGAAGGGGAAGGATGCAAGGGTAACCCTGGAAAGGTGCTCATCCGTTCTGTGCGGGTTGACTGTAGGGGGTCGACTGCAGACTGATGTGTCCCAGAATTGATGTCGTCGCCGGATTTACGTTTGCGAAGCATGCGTAATGATTCGCAGGTGTGCGAACATTCGATGTAGTCCCGTAGATCCGACGACAAGATCAATTCTGGGGTAAATCACTTATGGTGTCGATCTCCCGCTCGAGACCTGGTGGACAGGGCGCTCTGCTGGCGCGCCCAGCTGTCGCTCATGCCCAGGTGCGCGGACAGGCTGCGATGCGGAGGGGCTCAGCCCCCGTCGGCGGCCTGGCCCTGCTCCGCGTGGTCGCCCTCTTCTTCCTGCTTGTAAGGTCCTGCGGCCGATTCTCTGGGATATGATGGGCCAATTTCCCAACCGCACAACCATAGGCATGATCGGGGGAGAAGGGAGGATGGGGGGGGTCCTCCTCCACCTCCTCCTCTTCCTCCTCCTTTTCCTCCTCCTCCGCCTCCTCCGCCTCCTCCGCCGCCTGCCTGTGGTGGTGGTGGTGGACAATCGGCCCGTCGGGATGCCTCCCCCCCTCCCCTGGCCCCTGCCCGTGCGCGCCGCAGATCTGGACCCCAGGCCACGGGGCTGCCGGAAGCAGCCCCCGAGAGGCGATCCGAGCCCGCCCGAGGCCGTCTGGGCGCCAGAGGGCGCAGCGGGTGCCGGGGCGGAGGTGGCCCCCCTGGAGCTGCCACGCCGCCGCCTCCGCTTCCCGCCGATCGAGCAGAGGTAGGAGGAGGAGGAGGACGAGGAGGAGGAGGAGGAGCAGGAGGAGGAGGAGGAGAAGGAGGAGGAGGAGGAGGAAGGCGGAGGAGGAGAAAGGCGGAGGAGGAGGAGGAGGAGGAGGAGGAGGAGGAGGAAGGCGGAGGAGGAGGAGAAGAAGGAGGAGGACCAGTGCAAACCCAAGAGTCATCCGCGATGTTGGAATAAACCCTCCCTCCAAGCTTCCTCTTCACAAGCCCCTACAACGGTTCATTTCCATTGAAGGAGCTGCCTCTTTGGAAGACAACCGTTTGAAGGCCCTGCAGCATGCAAAAAACATTGTTCTCGGGATTCCAGCGCCATGGATCAACCTGACTGTTGCGTCTTGACAATCCTGAATCGTGCCAGAACGCCGTTCCTGGGACTTCAACACAGCGAACCAACATAACTGTTCCACCCGCATAGTCCTGAATCCTTTCAGCACACCATTTCTGGCACGTTGGTGATGGGAATCCGTGAGACAGACTCATGCACATGTTTGGAAAGAATGTGCGCCGCGCCAAGGCGAGAGCGACATTTTGAAACGGAACCGCCCTCAATTCGTGAGACTCTTGCAAATGTTTGAAACGAATGTGCGCCGCGCCCACGCGAGAGCCACATGCTGAAAACGACCCGCCCTCAGTCCGTGAAGCTCTTGCACATGTTTACAGCGAATGTGCGCCGCGCTAGGGTGAGAGCTACAGATTGAAAACCACTCGCACTCAATCTGCGAAGCTCTTGCAAAATCTTAGAAAGTGAATGTGCGCCGCGCAGAGGCGAGAGCCAAAGTTTGAAAACGGCCCGCCCTTAATCCGTCAAAAACTTGCAAATGTTTGGAACAATTAGTCGCGGCGCTAAGGTGAGAGCCACATTTTGACCCCCTCCCTCAATCTGTGAATCTCTTGCAAAGTTTAAAAACGGATGTGCGCCGAGCTAAGCCGAGAGCCACATTTTGGAAACGACCCGCCCTCCATCTGTGAAGCTGTTGCTAATCTTTTAGCCTCAGTCATAAATGGTGAGGAAGTCTCAGGCGAAACGCCTGGCCCGCATTAAAAACTGGCCTCGGGGTGCGACAGGGAGAGCTTCTATAAAAGGAACAAGAATGGAGGAGGAGGAGGAGCAGGAGGAGGAGGAGGAGGAGGAGGAGAAGGAGGAGGAGGAGGAGGAGGAGGAGGAGGAGGAGGAGCGCTCAGCCCCGGCCCCCGGGCCCCTTCTCGGGGCCCATCCTGGGCAGGCTGTTCGAGAGGCGCCCAGCCGCGTCAACGAGGACCTCCATCAGCGCCCCCAGACACCCCCAGAACGACGTCGTCGACGACGTCGGGCAATGCGGGGATGGCCACACAGCATTCGCGTGATTCGACTCTCGGAGGTCCGCGCGGACTTCTCGGATCCTCGCTGGACCCCCCCCCTCCCAGGCGCGCGGAGCGCGCCAGGGGCGGCACCGAGTGCCGCCAGGGGGCCCAACGCCGATCCAAGAAGCCTGCGCGGAGCTCCGAAAGCTTATGATTACAGTCATCGGCCTGACCTAAGGAACGATAAATAAGGAACGAAGCCCCTTGTCGTTCCAAGTGAGTCTACGAAATCCGAAGGAACACCAAGGGGGCTCGCCGCCAAAAAGGTAGCAGAACGCATGCAAACCCAAGGAACGACCGAGCCCCTATTGAAAAGGAAGTGTTCCTTATTCAAGCCGCTCACTGTATGGCGCTTTATGCTCCCGGAGTCGGCTGACTCCTTCTGCCGGCGCTCGAAGCGCTGCACGGAGACGGCGCAGTTATCCACCGTCTGCCCCTCGCCGAGGGCGAGGGCGCGGCGCGCGCCTGCGGGCGTGACCATGTGCACAAAGCCCAGGCTGCTGGGGCGGCGGCGCGGATAAAGCGGCTGCTCCCCTCTCGCGTGGACGGTGGAGTGCGCCATGAGCACCTTCGTAGGAGGACGATAAAAACTGCATAAACACAAACTTGCGGCGATCCGCGCGGCGTTCTTGGATCTACGCTGGCCCCCCTCCCAGGCGCGCGGGGCGCGCCAGGGGCGGCGCCGTAGGAGCCGCCAGGGAAGCCTTGTACCGATCCAAGAAATCCTAGCGGGGCTCCTAACAGATATGATTATGCCGTTGTTTCTTCTTCGGCCTCGGGCCAGCGCCCTTTTTTTGGCCAGCGGCGATTGGCATGGTCGGATGTGCGGTCGTCAGAGCGGCAGCGGGACGCACCTTAGGGCAACTCGGGCCTGTGCGGGTCGGGGATGGCCATTGAGGCAGCAGCCTCTCACCCCCCGCGCGTAGCGCAGCGGAAGAACGATGCGGGGTGTGCCCGTGTGCCCGCCACGATCTCGGGAGAGACCCTCCGCGTGCAAGGTGCAGCCACATTCGGGACAGGGCAGGGTTGATCAGCACGAGTCCACCCTGAACTAGTGGTGGAGACGAAAGGGAGAGAAGGTGAGGAGGAGGAGGAGGAGGAGGAAGAGGAGGGGGGAGGAGGAAGGGGAGGGGGAGCAACGCTGCAGCGTTTGAATACCCCATTGCCTACAGGTCCCAGGTCCCACGGGAAGCAGATGTGGCTGGGGAGGAGGCAAGTCGAGACGAGGCCCGTGCCAGGGAAAACCAGACATGCAAAGTTGGGGCCGCGGCACATGGAGCTGCACAGGTCCTTGGTGGCATGGGAGGGAGGAGGGGGAAGTGGACATGGACATGGAGAAAGCGGAAGGAGGACAGAAATATTGACGGGCAAAGAAGGCAGCGATGGCTAAGACTCGTCCCTCTCCCCCTCGCTATCAGGAGGGAGCGCATCGAGCCCATGTCAGCGAACCTAATTAAAAAGGGATTCGAGTGCAAGAGCTCCGCGTTTACGTCACACTGCACGCGAACACGGAGCTGTAGATACGCGACCGCTCTATCCAGACCTGGCTGCGGACTGTCGTGGACCTCTCTGGGGAGGCCTGGTGCTTCCTGCGACGGACGCTGCTCGTCTCTGAGATCCCGGCGCACTCCAGGCTGGATCGACGGTGCGAGAACGCAACGTCTTCCCTGCACCTGGACCTGAATCGGCGGCACGCCCGAGGGACGGTGAGAGGGGGCAGGCCTTGTCAGAAGGCGGCGGCGCTGCTCAGAAGCCCCTCGGGCCGCGCATTCAAGCCAAGCCGGCCCCTGACCGTCGGAGTATAGTTGTCCTGGCCCGCCGCCAAGGTGGAACAGACGCCGCTGCTGGGCTGCGGCCGCGGCAAAGGAGAGGGCGCAAGCAAACGAAGCAGAGACCAATCGTGAGGGGAACGAGCACTAACATTAACATAACAACTCGGAGGTCCGCGCGGATTTCTCGGATCGGCGCTGGACCCCCCTCCCTGGCGCGCGGAGCTCGCCAGGGGGTCCAGCGCGGATCGGAGAACTCCGCGCGGACCTCCGAGTTGTTATGTTTATGTCAGCGCCCTTTCCCAAAATCGTGTGCCCTTTCTTGTTGATTGCTAGTTGCTCCCACCGCCTGGGAAGTTCCGCGGGGGCGACGGAACAACCGAGCGAAAAGCTGCGCGGCGCGGCACCCGAAGTCGGTCGGTGCCCTGAGGAAGGGTGGGCGCGGAGGCGACGAGGCAGGAGAAGGAGGGCAGGAGAAGGAGGGAGGAGGAGGAGGAGGAGGAGGAGGAGGGGGGAGGAGTGAGGAGGAGGAGGAGGGAGGAGGAGAGGAGGAGGAGGAGGAGGGAGGAAGGAGGAGGAGGAGGAGGAGGAGGAGGAGGAGGAGGAGAGGAGGAGGAGGAGGAGGAGGAGGAGGAGGAGGAGGAGGGGGGGAGCCGTGCCCCAACCCCGCTGCCGCGCAAGCCCGCCCCTGCAGACGCCGCCCTCGCCGCGCGCCCACGCCGGCCTCGGCGGGCCCGGCGGCGGAGCCCCCGCCGAGGGCCGACGGGCGCGGGGGCCATCGCGACCCGTCGGGGGGCGAAGGCCCTTCCTGGAGCGGGCCGCGGGTCACGGAAGGGGCCCTGGGGCACGCAGATTAAGTACACGCAACAAAAATAGGTGGAAAACAAACCTACCTCGCCTTTGACCACCCTCGCTTCCAAGAGATACCAAAGGATGCCAAACTACGGCCTGTACTGGTCAGGCCGCTTGACGAGGAGGCGCATGGTATGGCTTGGTTTTGCCTGGAAGCGAAGGCGGGGTAGGTAATTCACGCTCTGAAAAAAAAAGGATTCCCTATATCTTCACACATTTTCGAGGTTTTTGCCTTCCCCCCCGCTTCCCATATGTTCCAACATTTTCCTGGGAGTCGACGATGACTTGTGTCTGTGTGTCGCTTTCCCTTCTGAGAGTCACGGCGGCAACGACTGCCCCAGCACCTGCTTGGCCGGGCCGCAGCTGGACAGGTGCCGCTTCAGCCTCGCTGGGCGCCTCCAAGCCCAGCCGGATGATGCGGCGGACGGTGAAGAGGCAGTCGAGGTCCTGGGGGCTCTGGCGTGGCGTGGGCCGGCGGGGGTCGCGCCAGGCCCTCTGGGGAGCACGGGGGGCCCGGGAGCAGTCCGAGAGCTCGGGGCCAGGCCAGCACTCTGCCCGGGTGCGGCAAGTCCCTGCCCTGACGACGCGGGGGCTGGCCTCTGACAAAGGGCGACCTGTGCAGTGCACTCACCGTGAGACCGTCTGGGACGCTCGAGAAGGAACGAGGGGGCTTTTCTGGCCACGGCGAGCCTCGGCCACACATAGTTTCACCGAGCTGATCATATATATATATATATATATATATATATACATATGTACGCACATGCATACACATACATATATATATATATATATATATATACACACGCACATACACATACACATACATACTTAGTTGTATGTACTGTACACATATATGTATATATATATATATAGCTGCCCGAAGACCAGAGCCTCTCCTGAGCCCAAACCGAGGTGGTCTTCTTGTCAGCGTCTCCGCTATATTGAGAGGCCTTCGCCGGCGTCGGCATCGCCGAAAGATGTTTATACGCGGTTGCACTGCCTGCCCTGGCCATGATATGTTTTGCAGCCCCCTCGTCAAGCCAAGGAGCTTCATGGGCATGGTTTCCATTGCCCCGGGCTGCGGACTCGGGCAATGGAAGGGAGGCGGGAACTCTCGAGACGGATCCCGCTGGGGGGAATCCCAGAGTCCGCAACGGGGCACAAAAATTATCGCATATGGCTTTCCTCCAGAAATCGCCAGCGCCCCAGGGAAGAGCACTCGCATGGCGTCTTCCCACGGTTGGACGTCCTGCGGACTCAGGCGATGGAAGGGAGGCGGGAACTCTCGAGACGGATCCCGCTGGGGGGGATCCCAGAGTCCGCAACGGGGCACAGAAATAATCGCATATGGCTTTCCTCCAGAAATGGCCAGCGCCCCAGGGATGAGCACTCACATGACGTCTTCCCACAGTTGGACGTCCTGCTCAGAGGAGTGCCCGCTCCTTGCCCGGAGAGCTGGCGCCAAAATAAAACTTGTACTGAAATGGCCCGCTCTGCAAACCTGAAGCCCAAAAAACAATCGCCCACTCCTGGAGAACGATCGTCGGTTTCCGCCAGCTTCCGCCGCCAGCGAAGCAGCCCCCGACACGTGCGGGGGTGCGACGTGGGAGAGTTATCTATATGGGAAAAGGGGTGGAGGAGGAGGAGGAGGAGGAGGAGGAGGAGGAGGAGGAGGAGGAGCAGGCGGAAGGGCCGCCGGCGATGAACTTGCGAAGACCGCCGAGAATCGAAAAAACGATGGTGGAAATCCCCGTGCTCCTCCCTGAAAATGGGCCCCTGGTCCTCTCGGGGGCACCCTGACCCAGGACGCTGCAGACCCCGGTCGGTCAGGCCCCGCAGCATCCCGCAGGACCCCGCAAGATCCTGCGAGGTTCTGCGCGCTAGCCCGGGTCAGTGCACCCCTGGCTTTGCGTTAAGTCGGGCCTGTCCCCCTACGGGCCGATTTTGGACAACAAAATAAAACATAGTAAACAAATACCCTAAGATACTGAAACAGGGTCAGAAAACCGTCCCAAGACTATTTTTTACTATTTGTGAATGTTCCCCCTGTAGAAGGACAGGCCCGACTGAAGCGTTGCGGGATCATGCAGGACCTGGCGCCCTGGCTCTCCCGCCGCAAGGGGCTCCCGACTCTCCCGGAGCGCCTGATGGCCGGCCTTCCGCCGCCCGTCCGCCGAGGAGGAGGAGGAGGCCCAGCCTCTCGACAACCCCGGAGGGCGAGGTGCCCCTCGACAGCGCCCTGTGAGGTCCAGCGCGGGGGGACGTCCGGGAACGGGACCGGGAATGGGATCCATGACGCAGTCACACTGGGAAGCATTGAGTGGACCCCTCTGCATATATGGGCCGCGGGCCCCCATCAAATCTGCCCAGAACCTCACGCCGCTCCCAGGAAGTACTCCCTGGGCCACAGGGCTTGGCCAACTTCCCGAGGACGCAGGGGGGAACGCCAGGGGGGGGGGGGGTCCGGCTCAGGGGGGGGAACCTCGAGCTGGAATCGGCATTGCTCTTAGGTCGGGCATGTCCTCCTACAGGCGGATTGGGGGAGACAAATGTGGAATAGCCGCTGCGAAAAATCATGAAAAATCGTCGGCGAGCCCAGGGGGAAGTGAGAAGGAGCGGGTCTTCACGAAGGCTCGGAAGGCCTCGGGCCTCCTGAGAGGTCTCCAGAGCTCCCCAGGGACAATGAGGAGAGGGAGGAGGAGGAGGAGGAGGAGGAGGAGGAGGAGGAGGAGGAGGAGGAGGAGGAGGAGGAGGAGGAGGAGGAGGAGGAGGAGGAGGAGGAGGAGGAGGAGGAGGAGGAGGAGGAGGAGGAGGAGGAGGAGGAGGAGGAGAAGCCGCGCCGCCTTCTGAGACGGCCTTCTCCTTCTCACTTCCCCCCGGGCGCGCCGCCAAAATACATCGCCGGTAGATCGGCGACAGGCCCCCGGTAGCAAATCCGAAAGGTCCTGGGCGGAGTGGGCAATCGGGCCTCATCGGCGATCCATGGGCGATTGGGGGTCGACGCCCCCCCTCTCTGAGCCTAATTATCCCCCCTTCCTGCGCTGCCCCTGATTCCGACCCCCGGAAACAGAACAGGGCGCGTTGAGACAACGGCAACTCAAAATCCATCCCTGGACCCCTCCCAAGGTCCAAGTGCACCAGTTTTCCGAGCTGAGTCCAGCCGTGGACGTCTTGAGGCGCTCTACGACGAAAACGACCCGACCGATTACCCAAAACAGCGTCTTGGCGCAGATCCGAAGACGTGATCCGACAGTGGTAGGGCACAGGACGAGAACACCACGAGAAAGAAGAGAAACAGAACACGATCCACGAGATTGCCCAGACCACGTGTTGGTCGGCCCCTCACGCCTGATCTGCATCGAATCGCGAAGTCGGACCAAATCGGATCGGAAACGGGCGCGCGGAGCGCGCCGCCGGAGGCGCCGCCACCCTGACCTTCCAGAGAGCTACCTTTTAGCACTGGAGACCTAAAAGCCTAAAAAGCTGAGCGAAACAGCCCAAAACCAAGACGTAGAATAGCTTTGGGATAATGGGTTTTCAAATCGGGTGCTATCTTTTTAAGGCCCTCCTGGAAGGTCCGGGCAGGGGGCCGCAGCGCCCCTCCGAGGAACCCGCGCGGGCTCCCGAGCTCTGGCCTGCGTCCTTGTTCGTCTCCCCAACAGCGCGCGCTCCGGGGTACCCAGAGGCACTCTCGAGAAATCCGCGCGAGCTTCCGAGCTCCGGTCTGTGTCGTCGTTCGCCCCCCCAACAGCGCGCGCTCTGGCCCAGGGGGGTACCCAAACCCTGACCTTCCAGGAGGGCTAAAAAAATGGCACCCGACTTGAAAACCCATCCCAGAGCTATTCTACGTCTTGGTTTCAGGCTGCTTCGCTCAGCTTTTTTGAGGTTTTTAGGCCTCCCGTGCTAAAAAAAAATAGCTCTCTGGAAGGTCAGGGAAAGCACCCCTCGAGCTCTCGCGCGAGGGCAGGGGGGCGGTCCTCGGCGGAGGGAGCAGCCGCAGCAGGCTGGCCGCAGGCGCGTCGGCCTTCGGCCCCGGGGGGGGGGGGGGGCGGGCTCGGCGCGGGGCGGGCTCGTCTCGGGGCGCGCGCCTCGGCAGGGCAGGGGGCCCCCGGGGCGCTCCGGACCGGGCCCCCCGCTTCGGGTGGGCTGCACAGAGACCTGGAGATACGGTAGAGGGAAACAATTAGTGAACACCCCCCCTGCCCCCCAGACTCAAAGTTGGCACGCGGGGGGGAGACTGCGGTCGAGGTGCAACTCATCAGACCCACCGCCAACTTTGAACATTGGGGGAAGGGGGAGGCGTTCACAGATGAATGTGGCATGAGTGTTCGCTAATTTTTCCGAGGCCTGTATTATTTGTTCGTTCGTATACAGACAGAGGGCAGAGCATCCACCCCCACAAGAAGCACCCCGACGAGCGAAGCCGTTGTTTAGGGAACGCGCCCCAGGCAGGAGTCGAGCAGGGGGGCAGGGCTGCTTCGCAGACGCCCAGGGCCGTTTCGTAAGCGCCGTGTGTCGGGGCCTGCGTGGTTTTTCCTCCCCAAAAATCTATCCGCCTTGGAGGCGTGCGTCCGACCCGAACATATCGCACAGTAACCATATTGTAGTGTGTATATATATGTATATATATATATATATATCAGAGTGAGGGGCCGAACGGTCATTCATTGTACCTGGGCGTGTGGCTTAAATGCAGATCCGTGGTGAAGATTCTGCTTGTTGCGTTGTTGTTCTTGCTGTTGCTGTTGTTGCTGCTGTTGCTGTTATTGCTGTTGCTGTTGCTGTTGCTGTTGCTGTTGCTCCAATACAATCGGAATTGTAGTATTCCGATCATTGGATGATCGGAGTAATCGCATCTGATTATTCCGATCATCCAATGATCGGAGTAATCGGATCCGATTATTCCGATCATCCAATACAATCGGAATTGTAGTATTCCGATCATTGGATGATCGGAGTAATCGCATCTGATTATTCCGATCATCCAATGATCGGAATAATCGGATCCGATCACTCCGATCATCCAATGATCGGAGTAATCGGATCCGATTATTCCGATCATAGGGGCGCCAACGAGCGTCGCCGGTTTGTTGTTGTTGTTGTTGTTGTTGTTGTTGTTGTTTGTCGTCGTCGTCCCCCCGCGACCCGGCCCGCGACCCACCCGCGACCCACCCCGCGACCCACCCGCGACCCACTCCGCGACCCGCTCGCGACCCACCCGCGACCCACCCGCGACCTGACCCGCGACCCACCGTCGACCCACCCGCGACCCACCTGCGACCCAACACGCGACCCACCTACATTGTTAAAAAAAATCGGCGCCTGCGGCGGGCTCGTTGTAAAGCTTGAAAATGTTGCCCCTGCGGCGGGCTTCTTCAGAGCCTCGCAGATTGCAGATGTCCCCGCCGCCCCCTCACTCTTATCCGCAACTGCAGGGTGCTAAGTATACATATACATATATATATATATATATATATATACTAGAACCATCGCGCACGCTTCGCGCGCGCTCGAGTTCTAGCTAGGCTTGATCGGCTAACTCATGTAATCTCATTTTGGTCGCTTCTTGCGTCCAGGGACTCCCTTTGAGGCCCTGCGCAAGCCTCGGAATCGTGTAGAAGGGGAAGTGCGGAAACGCAGAAATCATTAATTTCCTTTAGGTATTCAACGATTTGATGCCCTCAAATGCTTCCTGTTTTTTTGGGGGGGAGGTGAAGGGGGTCTGAATTGTGGTCTGTTTTGCAAGAGTAGACCGGGGGCCAAACTTGAAGAAAAAAGGAATTTTCGGATTCCCATTTGTTCCAGTTCCTCGGCGCTGTTCGGCGCTGTTTTTTGTTTGTGCCTCGCGGGTTTTGTTAGCCGGGCCCTTCAGGGGTGTGGGATCTCCCCGACCCCCTGAGGGTTCTGGAGGCCTCCTGGAGGCCTGGAGAGCCGTTGGAAGGGTGTCTCGGGCTGCGCGGGAGCGTGTTGGGCCGTTCTTTACATTCTGGGGGCTTCTTAAAGTCGTCTTGGGCTGTCCTTGGGCGTCTTGGGGGCCCCCGGGAAGCCGGGAGGCGCGGTACCGGCCAGATGTCAGGGATGTGTGGGATCTCTGAGTGGGAGTCCCACTTTGCAAAAAAACGAATTCTTGGAATTCTTTCAATTTTTTTCCAAAATCCTCGATCTTCGAGGTTTGGAAGCGGGAAAACGTGAGAAGGCGAAAAACATTAGAAAAACAATTGGAAATCAACGATTTTACCCTCTTTGGGCTCTCTCGGGACGGCTCTCGCAGCTCTCTTGGGCTGTTCTTGGAGCCTTGTCGGGGTCTTTTTTGGGGCCTCTCAAGGGTCGGGAGTGTATTGGGAGCCTCTGGGGGGTCCCGGAGGCCTCTCGGAGGTCTCTGGAAGCCTACTACTCCCGGTCTTGGGCCCATCTTGGGCCTGTTCTGGGGTGGTCTGGGGCTTGTCCTGGGCGCCTCTTCGGCAGCCTTGGAGCCTTCTTGGCCAGTCTTGGGGTCGTCCTGAGGGTCTCTTGGGTGGTCTTGGGGCGGCCTTGGGCGGCTCTTTCGCGCTCTTGGACCATTGGAAGCTCGAAAACGTGAGAAGCCAAAAACATGTAAAAAACATGAAAATCTACGATTTTGGCCTCTTCGGGCCGTCCTGGGACGCCTCTCGGACCTCTCTTGGGGTCTCTTGGAGGCCACCTGGGAGCCTCGAGAGCCGTCGGAAGGCTGACTTGGGCTGCTTGGGAGCGTCTTTGACCATCGTTTTGCATTCTGGGGGCTCCTGGGAGGCACCTTGGGCCCTCCTGGGGCACCGTGGAGGCTCCCAGGAAAGGCTGGGGGAGCGGTACCGGGAGCGTCCCCGAGATGTTCCGGGGAGGTGTGGGACCCGGGGCCGGGGGGGTGGTATTCATTTCTCTCTCTCTCTATATCTGTGTGTGTGTGTGTGTGTGTCTGTGTGTGTGTCTGTGTGTGTGTGTCTGTGTGTGTGTGTGCGTGTGTGTGGTGTGTGTATCGTTTCCCGAGCGGCATGGCCAGAGAGCGCCCGCCACGGCGCGCATACTACAAGATTTCACGATGTGCGCGTCGCCCCTGAGGGAGGCGACGCACACACACACAGTCTTAGTGTGTCGGTGCGACGCCGATCGCGGGTGCTGCTTCCTGCGCTCGCTCCGTGGGACACGCACATCGGAGGAAGAGAGGGCACCCGTGCCGCTACCCGTCGCCCATTTTCCCTTTGGGGGGGCCTCCTGGGAGGCCCTCGTCGCTACGATTAGGTCGGGCATGCCCCCTACAGGCGGATTTTGGACGAACAATTTAAAACAAAATCAGGAAATACTTCAAAATTGTCAAAAGTAGTCACACAATCATCCTCACACTACTTTTTCCTTTCCTATCTTGAAAAAATCATCCTGTAGAGGGACACGCACGACTTAACGCTACGGCTGGATTCGCCTCGACATCCTGGTCAGAACGCGCCCCAGGAGAGGTCCGGGGAGTAGCATGATCGGTACCTCTTTGGTCCTCCCAGCACAAGGACATACAAGTACTTTGCGTCCTCCTCGGAGGGGTGCGTCCGACCCGAACATCTAGTACAGCCATCGTGTAGTGTACAATCGTTGTTTTTTTTCCGAGCGGCACGGCAAGATAACGCCAGCCACCGAGCATATCCTATGAGATTTCTCGGCGTACGCACCTCCGCTTTTGGGCCGACGCACGCACAGCCTTAGTGTGTTTGGGCGACGTCGACCGAGCCTCGATTCACTCGGTTCCCGACCAGACTCCTCCTCCCGGGACCTCCGACGGTGTCCTGCCAAAGCTTGTCTGCTCGCCTTCGGCGTCGGAGACTGGAGTCGTTGCTCGTGTCCAACCCGTTCTGGCGCGACTGCTGCTGCAGTGAGGCTGTGTTCGCTTCCCGCGAGCCTTCACCTGAAATCCGCACCACGGGAACCAAGTACTCAAGCAGTTTCGATCGTGGCGCAGATTCCAAGTTCGCACAGCTCCAACGCAACAGGTGGCCAAGCCTCTCCACAGTCGGGTCGGGCGAAAGGGGGGGATAGCAAAGGGGGGGGGTGAGAATCAGCTCACGTAGCTGATTTTCCCGGCGCCTCCCGGCGCCGGAGGCGGCTATGTATCGAGGAATGGGCCCCTCGGTGAGGCCGAAACCAGCTGCACGCAGCAAATTTCGTAACCCCCCAATACCCCCCTTTCGCCCGGCCCGACACAGGCAGCCAGGTGGGCTCCTGCCGTCTGCAGGGCAGCCGTCGCGCCCGCGAGGGTGTCGCGGCGAAGGGGCCGAGAGCGCGCGAGCAGCAGCCCCGTCTGCTCCACGCACGCAGGCCGAGGGCAAGGCCCGGCCAGCCTGGTACCCTGACCTTCCAGAGCTATTCTACGTCTTGGTTTCAGGCTGTTTCCCCACAGATGTTTCGGTTTTTAGGCTTCCCAGAGCTATTCTACGTCTTGGTTTCAGGCTGTTTCGCTCAGAGTTTTAGCGCTGGAGACCTAAAACCTAAAAAGCTGAGCGAAACGGCCCCAAACCAAGACGTAGCACAGCTTTGGGATAGGTTTTTAAGTCACGGGCTGCTTTTTTTTAGCCCACCTGGAAGGCCAGGGCGACGCCAGTCGCGACTGCTTCGCAGGACCGGCCGGCCGAGCCGGCTCCGGGATCTCTTGCCGACGTGGAGCGCGCGTCCTCTCCCCAGTGAGGCGACGCGCCCGCAGGCCCCTATAGGCATAGGCCCGGGGGCGCCGGGTGGCCCGTGGAGTCACCGCGCAAAGCACCCACGCGGCAGGCCCCACGACAAGATCGGTGACGCAGACGAACACGCACGCACGCACGCACGCACGCACGCACACACACACGCACACACACACACACGCACGCACACGCACGCACGCACTCACACGCACACGCGCCCACGCGCACCCACTCATACGCACGCGCGCACGCACACGCGCACGCACGCACGCGCACGCACGCACGCACGCACAAACGTACGCACGCACGCACGTGCGCACGCACGCACGCGCGCGCGCACGCGCGCGCGCACCCACGCACGCACACGCACGCACGCACGCGCGCGCACGCGCGCACGCACATGCACCACGCACTCGCGCACGCGCGCACGCACACGCACGCGCACGCGCGCGCGCGCACGCACGCACGCACGCGCACGCACGCGCGCACACGCGCGCACGCACGCACGCACGCACGCGCGCACGCGCGCACGCGCGCACGCGCGCACACACGCGCGCACGCGCGCACGCACGCACGAACGCAGCACGCACGCTCGCGCGCACGCCGCACGCACGCACGCGCGCACGCAACGCACGCGCGCGCGCACGGCACGCACGCATGCAAGGCAAGCTGCCACGGCACGTGCGCACGCACGCGCGCACGCACGCGAGCACGCACGCCGGCACGCACGCACGACGCACGCGCGCACGAACGCACAGCGCGCACGCACGCACGCACGCACCGCACGCGGCACGCACGCACGCACGCACGCGCGCACCCAAGCCAGGACGTGCGCACGCACCGCGCGCACGCAAGCGCTGCACGCACGCACGCACGCACGCACGCACGCACGCTACGCACGCAACGCACGCACGCGAGCGACGCAACGCGCCGAAGCTCTCGCTACTCGCGCACGCAGCAGCGCACGCGCACACGCGCGCACTCGCACGGCACCGCACGCACTCGCAAGCACGCAAGCACGCACGCACGCACGCACGCCGCGCGCGCGCGCGCACGCACGCACGACGCACCGCACGCGCTGCGCGCGCACGCACGCACGCTCGCACGCACGCGCGCGCGGCACGCGCGCAGCACGCACGCCCGCACGCGGCGCGCTCGCACGCTCGCGCACGCGCGCACGCACGCACGCACGCGCGCACTCGCGCGCACTCGCACGCACTCGCACTCGCACTCGCACGCACGCACGCACGCACGCACGCACACACACACATACACACACATACACACACATACACACACATACACACACAGACACACACGCACGCACGCACGCACGCACGAACGCACGCACGCACACACGCACGCACCAGGCGGGACGGGACACATGGCCCAAGACGCACCCGAAAGTCAGGAACCGTGGAGAGACCGTCGAGAGTGGCCGACGAGGCCAGCTTGGGGACACCTACAGGCCAGAAGGAACCTTTCTATATGATAACCCAATATGCGACGATAGTGATGTGCGACGACGGTCACGCATGTGATATTGGGACCGCGATGTCGATAGTAGGGCTGATGCATCACAAGGAGATCTCGGACCCGCCCGCTAAAGATGGCCCGCAACACATACACTGATCCTGGGGGTGGGGCAGGGATCTCCAGGGGCACGTGTCCTCCTCCTCCTCCTCCTGCTTCTCCTTTTTCCCCCTACACCTCCAAGCGCCAACTGCGAACAAGCAGCGTAACGTTCTTGTTCTGCAGGGAGAGCAAACATTCACGATCGAAAGGGAGGAGCGTGCTCCTGCGGCTCCAGCGAGAAGAAACAAAGCAGAGCACTAGTAGACCCAGGCCCCCACTGTACTGCATAGCTTCTGTCACCAAAACCAACGGCTCAACCTGTAACACCACACCTATGCCAACAAGTCAGGAATATAGACTGCCGCTGGTGGACAGTCAAGACTCCTCCATGGCACAGGGCATAAAAACGAGGCGCGTAGCGAGCATGCTCACTGAGGAGCAGCGTTGCCAAAAACAATGTAAAACTGTACGGTCTGCGACCTGGTGGGCTCAAGCCGAACGTTAGCGCTCAGCGCCCATGTGGAATTCGCGCACGTGTGCTGATTTTAGGGGAACGATGAATGACATAAACATAAAAACTCGGAAGTCCGCGCGGATTTCTCGGATCGGCCGGCCCCCCATCCCTGGCGCGCGGAGAGCGCCAGGGGCGGCGCCGGAGGCGCCGCCAGGGGGCCCCAGCGCCGATCCGAGAAACCCGCGCGGACCTCCGAGCGTTTATGTTTATGTCATTCTTCGTTCCCCTAGGATTATCCGAAGCGCTCGTATGTTACGAGGAACTTCTGTGCCGAAGGGCTCGCCTTGCCGGCGTTGGCCCGCGCCTCGGCGTTCAGAGCCTCGGCGGTGCCCCGCAGCCCCTTCACCAGGGCGTCGTTGCCACAGACGTAGATGTGCACCTTTTTTAGGGAAACGAGCAACGACATTAAACAGAACAGCTCGGAGGTCCGCGCGGACTCTTCGGATCGGCGCTGGACCGCGCGGACCTCCGAGTTTTTTCTGCTCACGTCATCGCTCGTTCTGAAGGGGCCCTGGGACACACAAAGAAATACACACAAATCACCAGATTCTCCATATTCTTCCATATTCTCTGGGCTTTTGCCTTCCCCCCCACTTCCCATATTTCTCCCTATTTTCCGGGGAGTCGACGATTCATTGTCTGTCTGCGTGTCTTTCCTCCTCCTGACGTCCCCCCACGGCCTTCTCCTGGCAGCCCCAGTGCATGCCGATGGCCCGGAGCTCCGTCTCGAAGTCCGGGCGGCCGAAGGCCACCGGCACGAGCGGCGCCGCGCCCCCGGCGCCGCCCGGCCCCTCCGCCGGGGGCCCGCCGCTGCCCTCCGCGGCGGCCGCGGGGACGCCGTGCCCGGCGGCGCTGTCGGCCCGGAGGCCGACCCCGGAGCGCGCCAGCTGGGAGCGCCCGCGCAGCCTGCTCGGTGGACAGAAACACGCCCTGGGAAACACGCACACAGACACACACGGCAGGTGGGAAAACACACACACACAAAACAACGTCCGTGGACCAAAACACACACACAAACAAAACACACACACACACACACACACACACACACACACACACACACACGTGGACCAAAACACACACACACAAACAAAACACACACACACGCACGCGTGTGGAAAGACCCTGTGGAAGCAGTTCACGCTTTGGAGGAGAGGCTGCTTTTCTCCTCAGACTTTTCTCCACGGGCTCTTTCTGCCAGCGCGGCCTGCTCTGGCTCCACAGGAGGCTCTCCGCCCAGTCCTGCGAGCCGGGAGGGAGCTGGCGGCCCGCGGGCGGGGACCGGCCCGCGGGCGAGGACCGCGAGGAGGGCCGAGAGGCCAGCGAGGCATCCAGCACCGACGTCAGCGGCGGCAGCCGCCGGCTCGGGTCGCTGGCCTTCGAGACGTGCAGCTCGATGCGCTTCAGGGTCTGCGAGATGGGCTGGCGAGCCTGCACCTCCTCCTCCATGTCGGAGCTCGCCGTCGTCAGGTCGCTGAGCCACATCACGTCCAGCTCGGAACCGTTGACCCAGCACCAGGGTAGCTGCGGAGCCGTCAACACCCTGTGGGTGTCGAACTCGTCGCTGAACGCAGCCTGATCCACCTTGCTCTGGCGTTTGACCGCCTCCCGGAAGAGGTACGCGGCGGGGTCCTTGTCGGACTCGCGCGCCGTCGCGTGCAAGTGGAGGTGGACCTTCTGGCGCAAGCGGTGGGACTGGGCTATCCGCGTCAGATGCCTCCTTCCGAACAGAAACTCGTCCACGCTGCGGGTCACCCAGAAGAAGTGGGCCTCCTTGAGAGGCAGCGCCTTGCTCTCCGAGCTGTCCTCGATCAGGGAGATGAGCGAAGACATCAGCGAGAGGAACGGCGTGATGCCAACGCCAGCGCCCACCGCCACGAGGATCGGGCGCGACAGGGCCATCTGCGCGGGCGCGGCGTAGGGGCCGTCGAGCGCGATGCGGGGGAGTGGGGCGGAGCCGCCCTGCGCCCCGAGGCACCTGGCGGCCAACTCCTGCGTCCAGTCGCCCACGCCCGCGACGATGAACTCCACGTACTCGTCGTTCTTGCCCGAGCAGATGGTGAGAGGGTGCCACTGCAGCGGGGCATACTCTGGCAGGCAGACGAAGGCGTACATGCCCGGGGCGAAGGTCCACAGGCCCGTGGGCCTCGTGACCGCCAGGTGGGTCAGCGCTCCGCTGGGGCCGCCGTCCTTGCCGGGCCGGATCACCGCGTCGGCGATCTGCACCGCCCTGCCCCCGAACGCGTAGAAGCGCAGCAGGCGCCCCACCCTGTCCACCAGGTACAGGCAGAGGGGCACCGAGGTGGTGAAGGCGACGAGGGGGAAGCCGACCCCGATCCACTGGTTGGAGCCGTGCACGAACATCAGGAGCGGCCACGCGACCAGGGCGAAGTTGTGCGCGTACCAGAAGCGCTCGAAGTTCGCGGAGCGCGCGCGCGCCCTGCCCGTCCAGGCGAGCAGGGCCATCAGCCCTGTCAGCATCAGGCCGGTGACTCCGGGAGTGGACTGCCACAGGAGGCGCCAGCCCATGCCCTCGCTGGAGATCTCGAGCGGGCACGCGGGCCACTGCAGCAGGTCGAACGAGGGCATGCCACTCAGCGCTTCTTCCCTGTTGGCGCACGCGAGGAATGCGTTGAGCCTCTCGGCGGTGACGTACCGCAAAGCCGGCACGGTAGAGAGGAGGTGTGCCAAGACATGGACGGCCGAGGTAACAACGAGGCACCGCCCAAGGAAGATGTGCACGTCCTTGTGTCCATCGAGCACCATGAGCACCTTGCTGCTCACCCCGTGGAACTTGTAAAACTGCTTCATGAATGTGCGGGCCATGGTCAAGTACAGCAGGCCGGTGAGCATCGCTGCTCCAAGGCCTCCGGCTCGCGCGAAAATGATCGGCCACGTGAAGAGCTCCAGGATTCCAGCGTACTTGACGAAGAAGACCCAGATCGCGTTGGCGAAGGAGACGACCGTCATGAGCAGGGCAAGCCCCCACTTGAAGCGCCGGAGGGTGATCGCGTCCACAACCCCCGCCCACTCCTCCATGACGTCGCCCCGCCCGCGGTCCCTGCTGGGCCCGCCTGTGCCGCGGAACCGGATGCCCTGGGCCGCCTCGGGGTCCGGCGGCTCCTGCGGGAAGCTCGCGCAAATGCACAAAAGGTTACCTCGAGAGGTCTTCGTAATACCCCCCAATAATGGAAACATGTTCTCAGCGATGGTTTGTTGACGGAATGCGACTCCAACATTGCTGGGAACATGATTATACACCGGCGGCGGCCACCGCTGATAATCGGGGGGAGGATGAGGATCCCTGATGGGATGCTGATGCTGATGACGACGACGAAGACGACGACCACGATGACGATGACGACGACGAAGATGATGCTGCTGGTGATGGTGGTGAGGATGATGCTGATGATGATTATGGATTATGGTGATGGTTATGGTACTGATGATGATGCTGCTGATGGTGACGATGTTGTTGTTGCTTTGTTGTTGATGGTGATGATAATGATGATGCTGATGATGATGATGATGATGATGATGATGATGATGATGATGATGATGATGATGATGATGATGATGATGATGATGATGATGATGATGACGGCGAGAAGGAGGGGGGGAGGACGAGGAGGGGAAGCACGAATGTCATTGCCAGCCGAGCGCTGAGGGGGTGCATCACTATCCGGGCCCTGTCCCATGGAGCTTTGCAGAACCGCCACAGGACAACGTGTGGTGTATTGAGTTCTGGCCCGACTCTCTGGGCCGCAGGTGCCGAAAAGACCTTCACGGTGCACCGTGCCTGGGCCGCCATCCGCCGCCGAGCCGTGGGCAAACACCGCGTGGTCTACGACGGACACGCTTCTGGCCCCGATCCTGGCCGCTGACGGTGAGCGTGCGTGCCAGGCGCAGGTCCACCGTCCTCTCCCGCTGCAGCGGCGCATCCGCGGCCGCACGGCTCTGGCCCACCCAGCTCTCCAGCCCGGGCGAGAGGCCCGCGCCCCCGGCGCCGAGCACCTCCGCATAGGGGCCCGGCCGGTGCACGCCACGCCCGCCTGGCCGGCCATGGGCCCGAGGATGAGCTCGGCGAGGGCGCTCGGCGCGCAGGCGCCTGCCAGCATCCCACAGGCTGGGAGGCTGGAGCGCCTGCTCGCTCCGTGGCCGGCCCGACGGCCTGGACTGTGCTCCGACCCAGGCGTGCGAGAGGGTGCGTTTTTTGTTCCCATGTGCGGGCCCCCGAAGTCCATGGCTGCAGACCCCTGCCCCAGGGCTGGCTTTGGACCTCGAGCCGTGTTTTGGCAGTCGCCCGCCGCCCCCCGGGCCGAAAACCGCAAAACCACCTTCCGCCGAGGCCTCTTCCCGACGCGAGCATGTCTGGGGAGGCCCCCGCAGCACCTGGTGCACCAGCGGGTCCAGCGCCGCGTCCGAGAGGCGCCACGAGCCGAAGGCCGCGGCGCCCTCCAGCAGGATCTCCCGCACCGCGCCCTCCGTCGCGAGGCCGTGGGCGCGCAGGTAGGCGGCCGCGCTCTCCCACCGCTGGTCGCCGAACGTCGCCCTGCTCAGGCCGCCGCGGTCTGCGGCCCGGCCGCCCCCGAGGCTGGCGCTGGGCTCCACCTCCGAGTCCTGCCCGGCCACACGCGGGAGCGGCCCTGGGCCGAAGGGGGGAGGCCGAGCCCGCGCGCGCGAGGCGCTGCTGTCGCATCGCGCTCGGTCCTCTGGGAACCCCGCGTGCGCGCACCCCGGAGATACCAGCGGCTCAGTTCCTTCGAGCCGGGCGTTTTCGCCCGGTTTCGGCCCCCCGGACCCTCACAGCTGGGCCCTCCAGATGGACGTCGGACCTCAGGGACGGGCACTCCAGCCAAGGGTCACTCTTGGGTGTCGCCGAAGCCTGGTACAGGCTGCGGACTGGGCCCACCGCCGCCATGATGCGGCCGCTCGATCCGGGGCGGCCCCGCCGCAGTCCTCGAGGGGGGGGCCTCTCCCGGGGCGCGGCGTGAGCGCGCCTCGGAGCCGGCGGGGGCCAGGGCCAAACACTATATAGCTGTGGAGCACACCAGGGATTGGGAAGGGAGGGGGCGGAGGACGGACGGACTCCGCTGGAGTTTGTGTCTGTGTCAAGACTGCTGACGTGTTCCAAGACCAGCTACAATCAAATATTGAGGGCCATTGCCCCCTGCGCGGCCTGCTTAGCCTCGAACCTACAGGCCCCCCGGGCAGAAGGGGGAATCAGGGAGGCGGAGGAAGAGAGGGAGACGGTTATGTTGCATCTTCGGGGGACCTTGTCTGCGGCCCTATCCGCGTCGAATCTGTGTCGAATCCATGTCGGCCTGTCGGATCCGTGGCGAATCCATGTCGAATCCGGGTCGAATCCGCGCCAAACCCGCGTCGAGTCCGCATCGAGCCCGCGTCGGGCACAAGAAGAGACACCCAGTTTGGGGGACAGGCGAGGTGCCCCGAAGGTGCAACTGAAAGGCAGGTGCTGACTCACACGGGGGGGGGCGCCCCAAGGGGGAGAGCCCGACGCCAGCTCGGAGGAAGAAGCGCTGCGCTCCGAGAGCGCCGTCGGAGAGCTCGCAGTCACGGCGCACGCCGAGGCTGGAAACGAGGAGGGCGCGGGACAGCGAGAGGGAAGCGGGATGGCAAAAGGCGAAGAACCCGGCGCATCGCAGGACCTTTCGACGGGAAGCCTGCCCTGAGTGTTTTGGCCCGTGCGTGGAGTGCTGCACGCCCTGAGCGCGGCCCCATCCTGACCGGACAGGGCCTTTACTACCCGCCCCACCCTCCACAATGGGTGGGCAAACGATTAGTTCTGGCGCGGGCTTATTGACGGATTGGGACCAGGGAAAGAATGATTTGCAGGGTTAGTGCCTTCCTGCGCGGCCGCTCTCCTCCCCTCCCGGCAGCGTTGGGGCACAATTCGTTCAACCGCGGCCCGGTTGCTGCTACTCGACGACTCGTGGCCCACGCCGCCGCTGACACAAAACATGCTTCGAATGTTGAATGCACTGCCCCTGGCCCGAGGTTCGCGGGCGGGAGGGCGCATACACATGTGGCGGATTCTGGAAACGCTGATCCCACAAAGGTTGCCATCTCTCGGGGGGCGCGTGTTCTGCTTCCGCCATCGTCCGCCGCCCCCCAACTGCCATTCCGCCGCCTTCCGCCGAGGAAGAGAGGGCAATTCCTTCGATCCTCAAAAGCAAGGCTCTTTTTGGAACGCCTCCTATGTATGTATGTGTATACAATATTCTCTACGTATAGAAACATTATATATATGAAGAGAGAGATGTGTAAATGTGTGTATATGTATGTGTATACATATACATATAAAACGGGTGTGTGTATATATATATATATATATGTACAGATGGGTAGATCAGCAGACAGATGCTCAGGCATCAACTCTCAAAGTCGGCGCAGCTCGCCAGGGCGACAGTGGGGAACCCGAGAGTCTATAGCGCCCTTCCGGGGCTCTCCAGAGCTGGCCTAAATATCGGCGCGCCTGACCCCAAACGCCCAAACGCCGAACGCGGCACCCCCTGGGCGATTTCCGCCGATCAGAACTTCGGCCGGCGCCCATGTGGGCGACGATCAGGAACAGGTCTTGCGCGAGATGGCATGACAGCCTTACGCCGCGGCTTAAGCAGGCCATCAGCGCGGCACGCCACCTTGGAAACGCGGGCGCTCACGCGCGACCTTCTGCGGGCAGGTTGCGCGCCCAGGTCGGCGCAGACGACCCCGTGTTGCTGCGTCGCTCGCTTGCAAGAGCAAGCGCAAAACTGCAGTGGCGCGTCGCGCCACGCGTCACGCACGTCGGTCCTGCAAGAGTCGCACACAGGCGGACCGGGAAAGAGAGGCCGTAGGCCTCTCCAGGAGCGCGTCCAGCGTCAGGCCATGACTCCGAGGCGGATATCCAGACCTGACAAGCAGGGCCCTGACGACTTGCCCTCGGGATGGTGGGCAACACGGAACAGCACCACAGACTAGGGAGGCTCGAGCACCCTGGCACTCGCCTCTCTCAAGAGCAGACCTGCAAGCTCCCAGAGATGCTGTGGGTCTCTCGATCCTTCTGGGTCGAGTTCCTGAATGGCCGATCTGGTTCCACCTGATGATGCGGCCCTGGGCAGACCTAGTGCAAGTCTTCCCACCAGCCTGAACGGGCCAACAGCATTGCACGTGATTATGGGAGTGGGTAGCTTCTCGTCCCTCACGGAACTCGTCGAACTGAGCGTCGTCCTCGTCGCGGCCACCCGCCGATGGCCGCAGCCGGTGGCCGCCGCACCAAGAAGGTGCCCCCACCGAAGGGCCCCCCCACGAAGGCCGCCCGAGGCGCCGCGCCGTGGGGCGGCCAAGGCCGTCGTCGTCGTCCTCCTCCTCCTCCTTCTCCTCCTCCTCCGACTTCTCCTCCTCCTCCTCCTCCCCCTCCTCCTCCCTCCTCCCTTTCCTCCTCCCTTTCCTCCTCCTCCTCCTCTCCCTTTCCTCCTCCTCCTCCTCCCTCCCTTTCCTCCTCTCTCCTCCTCCTCCTCCTCTTCCTCCTCCTCTCTCCTCCTCCTCCTCCCTTTCCTCTCCCGTTCCTCTCCTTTCCTTCCTCCTCCTCCTCCTCCTCCTCCTCCTCCTCCTCCTCCTCCTCCTCCTCCTCTAAAGCCGACGGCCGACGGCCAGCCTGGGAGGCCGCTCGGTGAGCGACGGCCGGCAGCCCACGCGGAGGCGGCCGCGGCCACGGCCGGCCGCGGGAGGAGCAGCTCTCCTGCGCCAGAGGAGTGCTCCGCCGCGGGGGCGGGGGGGGCACGTCTTCTGCCTCGCCTCGTCCTCCTGCACCCTCCTCGTCATCATCATCGTCGTCATCGTCACTACCATCATCATCATCATCATCATCATCATCATCATCATCATCATCACCACCACCACCACCATCATCATCATCATCATCAGCATCAGCATCATCATCCTCATCCTCATCCTCATCCTCATCATCAGCATCATCATCATCAGCATCATCATCAGCATCATCAGCACCATTATCACCAGCATCATCATCCTCATCCTCACCATCATCAGCATCATGCGTCGTCCTCGTCATCATCATCCCAAAACCATCCTCATCCTCATCCTCATCCTTATCCCCCCCTATCCTCCCTCTTTTCCTCATCATCGTTATCACCGCCATTATCATCATCACCATCACCATCATCACCATCACCATCATCACCATCACCAGCGTCCTTTTCACCATCATCACCATCGACATGATCATGATCATAATCCTCCCCGACATCAACCTCATCCCCGTCCTCATCCTCGTCCTCATCCTCGTCCAACTCCTCATCCTCGTCCTCATCCTCACCATAATCACCATCATCATCAGCATCATCATTACCACCACAATCACCATCACCAGCGCCATCATCATCATCACCACCACCACCACCATCATCGTCATCATCATCATCATCATCATCATCATCATCATCATCATCATCGTCATCATCAGCATCATCATCATCATCACCATCGGCATCATCATCATCATCATCACCATCATCATCATCATCATCATCATCATCATCATCATCATCATCATCATCATCATCGCCGTCACCATCACCATCACAATCACCATTACCATCGCCATTACCATAACCATCAACGTCACCTTTACCTACACCACCACTACCACCATCTTCAACATCAGCATCTCAAAATCCACCACCAACGTCGTCATCAAAGCCATCCTTGCACTCCTCCTCCGCAGCCTACTCCTCCTGGGATCAGGACTCGGACTGGGACAGCGGCCTGCTTCCGAGAAGACAGGTTCATGGACAGGTAAAGGGCAAGACGAGAGGGTGGCCGCGCTTCGCGAGAACTGCTCTCCCCACACATGCATCAATTCAGGCAAGGCGCATGGGCTGCAACGAAACCAGACGCACCGCAGTCGAGCGAAATGCCAGGCGCGCGCGCACTGCAGTCGAGCAAGATGCCAGAGGCTCTCGTAGGAGCAGGGGCAGAGGGAGGAGCAGGAGGCGGAGGAGCAGAAGGTGGAGGAGCAGGAGGGAGGAGGCGCAGGGATCAGGAGAAGGGGGTGGGAGCAGAGGGGGAGACGCAGTGGATAGCAGCAGAGGAGGAGCACCGAACATACCACGAGGAGGGGGAGAGGTGGAGGCATGAGAGGACGAGGGCACGTTTCGAGCAGCATGAAGGGGTCCAGTGACACGCAAACGAATAGACACCAATGCCAAGATCCCCCGTACTTCTCCGTATGTTCTGGATGTTCGTCTTCCCCTCCACTTCCCATCTTTCCCAGATCCTCTCAGAAATCGGCGACTCTTTGTGTCTGTGTGCTCCCCCCCCCCTGAGAGGTGGAGGCGAGCGACGGCGAGGGCACGCTCCGCCTTCGGGCAGCAGCCCCCGGTCGGCAGCCCACCCGCGGACGCCCCCCTGCCAGACGCCCCCGCCGCCCAAGCCTCGCGCAGAGCGCGAAGCGCGACCACCTTCGCGCTCCCGCGCCGCCCCCCCCCCCCCCCCCTCCTCCTCCTCCTCCTCCTCCTCCTCCTCCCTCCTCTCCTCCTCCTCCTCCTCCTCCTCCTCCTCCTCCTCCTCCTCCTCCTCCTCCTCCCCCCCAGACAGTCGTTCTGCCTTGACTTGTTCAGCACGCGGTCCCTGGAAGCCCCGGCCCCTGCCCCCGGTTTGGTGCCTCATCCCGAGCCGCTCTGTCGACGGCCCCGGGGCCCGGCGAGGGTCCCCAAGGGGCCAGAGACGGCCAAAGACCTTCGGCCGTGCTCTCTGTCACGACGCGACCATGCCTGGGGCTACATACCTTCGCGCTCGCGCGCCGCACCCCCCTGTTTGGAATTCGGAGGGGGGAGGGCGTTCCAGCCCGGACGGCGCAGCGCGTAGCGCGGACCGCCTTCGCGCCACTGCGTGCTGTATTTGTTTCGGCAGCACGGGAGTGAGAGCCTCAAGAATACCGCTCCAGCTATTACATCGGCGCTTAGGTCATTTTGACTCCCGCGTTATCGAACGTATGGTGAATCATCGAGCGTTAGACGTGACGGGTGGGGCTGGGACGCCACCGCCGCCACGGGTCTCGGGGACTCGCCTAGGTGGCGACGAGGACGTCCGACAACGACCCATGTACCCCCAAAACTGCATCGTCGATGACGTCGGGTAGTGAGAAGATCAACAACTGTCGGAGGTCCGCGCGGATTTCTTGGACCTGCGCTGAGCCCGCTCCTTGGCGCGCGTAACGCGCCAGGGGCGGCGCTGGAGGCGCCGTCAGGGGGGCAGCGCCGATCCCAGGAACCCGCGCAGAGCTCAGCCAACTTACACTGGCCGTCGCTCGGACGTCCATTTCCTATTCGTGTGCGTGCACTTGTTTGTAAGGCGTCCCAGGATGATCCTTGAGGGTCCCCGCCGAGACAAGCTGCACACATCCGAGCGATGCCGAAGACAGGTATGCCATACCGTTCCCTTCCTCGAGCCGCCGCGTCGACGCGGCATGAGCCTGCCTTGCGCAGGGACCGACCGTCCTGGCATTCCTAGAGTCCTAGCACGACATGTTCTTAGAACCAGCAAGTGGATTAAGAACCAAAACAATGCTCTTAGAACATGAGCCCGATGTGATGAAACGAGACAGCCCCAATCAGAAATGTGCTATCTGAGAACATTTCGTGGGAACCGCAAAAGGTTCTGAGAACATTGTTTGGTAGGACTATATTCAGGGATGAAAAAACGGCCCTACCCTGGGTTACAAGTGCGTGGTCTGTAGACCTCCTGGGACCCGCCAGAGCCTGGAGCCGCCAGGACGCGGCATGTCACGCAGGGTTTACCCTGTCAGCCCACGGGAGTTTCAGCGCACACTCGTAAACCAGAGCAGGGGCGTTTTTTATGCCCTTGGTTCGCTATAGGCACGCCGGGACGCTCCGCCACTGCTTGAGACCCCCCTTTAGTTAAATCGTGGTTTAGAGAAAACGACCTGAGGCCCAAACCTGGCGGGCGCAAGCCTGGAAAATAACGGCCACGGCGCCCTCTCGAGAACCGACAACGGACAATTCACGAATCGACGTGTCACTGTTGGGGGTTCTGTCCACCCCCGAATTGTTTTCGGGAGCGGCCAAGAGGGGGGTGTCCAAGAGGGGGGGGTGCAAATCATGACCGGCGGCACGTGCGCGGCCCAGCGGGGGGGCCAGGGACGTGATGAAATAAGAAGAGGCGCCATGAAATCTGAGGAAATATCACGGCCCCCGCCATGCTATCCGCCCCCCCCCTGGTCACCACCCCCCTCTTTTCCGCCCCCGAGAATTGTTTGGTAGGCCTCTAGGCACGCCGGCACGCTCCGCCACTGCTTGAGCTTCCCTGCCTCGAGCCGCCGCGCCGACGCGGGCACGGCAGCTGCCGCCCCCCCGATGTTTGGTAGGCCTATAGGCACGCCGGCACGCTCCGCCACTGCTTGAGAGCTTCCCTGCCTCGGGCCGCCGCGCCGACGCGGCGTGCGCCCGCCGTGCCCGCGCCCCGGCGGCCGACCCGGACCCCCGACGCCGTGCTCCTCGTCCCGCCGTGGGCCCTCGGAGGGAGCAGGGAGGAGGAGGAGGAGGAGGAGGAGGAGAGGAGGAGGAGGAGGGGGAGGGGGAGGAGGAGGAGGAGGAGGAGGAGGAGGAGGAGGAGGAGGAGGAGGAGGAGGAGGAGGAGGAGGAGAGGAGGAGGAGGAGGGGAGGAGGAGGAGGAGGCGGAGGAGGAGGAAGAGGAGGAGGAGGAGGAGGGAGGAGGAGGAGGAGGAGGAGGAGGAGGAGGAGGAGGAGGGAGGAGGAACGGCTATGGAATGGCCCGGGAGGGCTCTCCACGGGAGTCCCATGCCAATTTGTTGGCTCGCCCCGAGTCGCGCTTCTCGCCCTCGCTCGGACGTCCGCTGCCCAGGCCGTGTCCGATCTCGCGCGTTTTTAATCTCTTCGCAAGGGGGCCCGAGAGGCTCCTCGATGGTCCTCGCCGAGGCAAAAAACGTACACGCCCGAGCGATGCCACGTTCTGACAGTCCCATGGGGCCCGGCGCGGGCCCCCGGAGGCCACTGTGTTTCCTTCCCGCGACGCGAGCCGCCGCGCGGCACGAGTCCGGGAAAACACTTTGAACATGTGTCGATACCGCTGCTCCGCGGATCTCCCCCGGGATGCAGACTGACCAGGACTTCGGGGCGAGTCTGGCCGTGAGGACGAGGGCCTCCCAGGAGGCCCAGACGACCAAAAACGGAGAAAGAGAAGCGGTGCCGGTGCCTTTTCCTCCTCTGAGTCGCCGCGTCGACTGCCCGCCTGGCAGGCCCCGAAGGCGGTCGACTGCCCGACTGGCAGGTCCCTTAGGGAAGATTTGTTGTGCAAATCCGTAGATACAGTCAAGACGCTGAAAATAAGCTTCGCTTTGGGCTCAGGAGGGGCTCTGGTTTCCAGGCCGCTCCGTAGATATATGGTGTGGAACTTGTTTGTGGCACGGGCCCGCCGTGGCCCTAGAAGCCTTTGCGCTCCTTCCTCTCACGCGTGCCTCCTGGTAGCACGATGCCTGTACTCAACTGCCCTGATACGCCCGTCTTGAAACGCAACGCGTGGCGTGTTCGAGACGTCCGTGTTCACACGCTGCGTGTTGGCTCCACGTATTGACCCACGCTTTGGCGAACGCGTCGCGCGCCAAACCTACGCTCGCAATCTCCGCGCTGAGCTCCGTGGTGGCGCCACGCTACGCGCTGCGTGTGGCGCCTCGGGGCGGCCACGTGCCTGCACTGTCCGGCACGGGCCCTCCTCGAGCTGCCCGGCGGCCTCCCGAGGCCGCGGCGCAACCCGTGGCCGGCGGCCGCTGGCGGCGGCCGATGGAGGCCTGCCGTGGCCAGCCAAAAGCCCAGCCGCTCTGTGTGTTGCCTGCGATCCGGAGGCTGGCACGATGCCCGCACCGTCTGTGGAGCAGGGGCCGACCGTCCTGGCATTCCTAAGGGTTCCAGCACGACATGTTCTTCGATCGGGTCGGGCGAAAGGGGGCGATAGCAAAGGGGGGGTTTGAGAATCAGCTCACGTAGCTGATTTTCACGGCGCCTTCCGGCGCTGGAGGCGGCTATGTATCGAGGCATGGGCCCCTCGGCGAGGCCGAAACCAGCTGCATGCGGCAGATTTCGTAACCCCCCCTTTCCCAATCCCCCCCTTTCGTCTGGCCCGATTCGAACCCAAGAATGTTCTCAGAACAAGAACAATGCTCTTAGAACATGAGCCCGATGCGTGACAACAAGACAGTCGACAGTCCCAACCAGGAATGTTCTGAGAACCATGTCGTGGGAACCACATCAGGTTCTTTGAGCATTGTTTGGTAGGCCCGCAGGCACGCCGGGACGCTCCTCCACTGCTTCAGTCTGGCACGAGCCCTCCTCGAGCCGCCCGGCGGCCTCCCGAGGCCACGGCGAAGCCCGCGGCCGGCGGCCGCTGGCGGCCTCACCCCCTGACCTTCCAGGAGGGCTAAAAATATAGCACCCGACTTCAAAACCGATCCCGAAGCTGTTCTACGTCTTGGTTTTAGGCTGTTTCGCTCCGCTTTTTAGGTTTTTAGGTCTCCAGTGCTTACGAATAGCTCCCTGGAAGGTCAAGGCCCTCGGCCCTGTCCTGGCGAGGGCAGCGGCACGTGCCGTGGCGCGGGGCAGGCGAGGGGGCCGGCGGACAGACCTGCAGGGTGGCTCGGAGGATCGCGGTTGTCGGGCGACTGCGCGACCCGGCCTCCTCTCCTGCCATCGGGCCTCGCCTCGACTATGCACGTGCAAGTGGCCCTTCGCCGGAGTGGCCTCTGGTGCGGGCCCCACGCGCTCAGGACCCGCAATTCCCCGACCCTGAGGTCCGACGTCTCGAGAAGTTGAGACATCGTGAAGAACCACGACCGGAGCCGCAGGCCCCATGATTCTGTGCCATGTTGCGAGCCAAATCCATCTGAGAGGGTCCCAGGGCCCGAGACTGGGCGAAAACGCCCGGCTCGAAAAAAGTGAGTCGAGCTCCTGCAGTCGAGGCCTCCTCGGCGGGGTCGGAATCGATGGGGTCGGCGGATCGAGACGCATCGGCGATGCATCGCCGATGCCTTGGCGATGCGCCCGCAACGTTGGCGATGCATCGGCGACATCGGCGACATAGGCGTGGAGACAATCGCGGGCTCCACATCGAGCCGCATCGGCGATGCATCGGCGCTGCGGCGAGATCCTTCGACTCCACTCGGTCCAACCCCATCCAGGAGAGGCCTACCCTGACCTTCTAGAGAGCTATTTTGTAGCACTGGAGACATAAAAGCCTAAAAAGCTGAGCGAAACAGCCTAAAACCAAGACGTAGAATAGCTTTGGGATCGGTTTTGAAGTCGGATGCTATTTTTTAGCCCTCCTGGAAGGTCAGGGGGTGAGACTTCCGGGCCTGAGCTCCTGCAGCAGGCCGGCAGCCCGCGGCCGCGCTCCTCCATGGAGCGCCAGGGCGGCGTGCTGCGCCGGGGGGGCCCATGGGCCTCGAGGCCCAGCGGCGCCGGCAAGGCCGGGCGCAGCGGTGGCTCCCACGGGCTCGCGGAGGGGTGCGCTGCAGTGAGCCCGTGTCACAAGGACGCACCATGCGTTCTACAAGTTCAGAGCGCGGTCCCCGGAAGTCCCAGGACGGCCCGGGGGCCTGGCGAGGGCCCCTGGAGGCCAGAAACAACCCAGATACCTTCGGTAGTGCCTTCTGTCACGAAGCGAGCATGTCTGCAGTCTGGGGTTACAGTCAACCCGTAGAATAAGAACGCGCGATGAGGCTGAACGGGCCTTGAAGGCCATGTCGACAGTTTTGCGAGCGGCGCGTGGCCAGCGGGAGCGGCCAAGGATGGGCCGAATGGGATGATGCAAGGGTAACTTTGGAAAGTCGCTCATCTTTACTATGCTGGTGGACTGTACGCTCTAAGAGGGGGTCAGAGCAGATGGGGTCGGAGGATCACGCCGCATCGTCGATGAATCGCCGACGCATCGGTATGCATCAGCGCCGTCGGCGTGGAGAACATCGGGTCCCACATCGAGCAGCATCGCCGATGCATCGGCGATGCGGCGCGATCCTCCGAACCCATCTAATCTGACACCATCTGGGAGGCCTAGGACGACGTTGGCCCCTCTCGGGGGTGGTGCCGACCCTAAGACCCTGACGTCGCCATTTTTCTGATCGCAGCGGGCGATGATTTGCCTTGTGTCAGGCCCGAGGAACAGACAAAGCCAGGACGAGGACGAATTCGTGTGAGGATAAAGAAAGAATCGCTTGGGATCCGGCGGCTCTGGAGGATGTCTCGGGCGCCGCGGCCTTCTCAGAGAATCCCGGAACGCTCTGGCACGGATTTATCCTCGTCCTAGCCCCGTCCGACAGGACCCTCACGGATGTCGGGGGCGTCCAAGAGGGGGGGGCGCAAATCATGGCCGGCGGCACGTGCCCGGTACAGGGGGGGCGGGGACGCATTGAGATAAGCAGAGGCGCCATGAAATCTGGGGAGATATCATGGCCCCCGCCATGATATCCGCCCCCCCTGGTCATCACCCCCTCTTGGTCGCCCCCGAGGATGGATCCGGCTCGAGAAGTGCCACAGAAGGAAGGGGCCCAGGGTGTCTTTCGCAAAGCCGCAGCTTCTTTTTCGCAGTGTCGGGGCGGAGCCCTGGCGCACTGCGCCAGGCCGCGGGGGGCGCAACTGACCCCTGCCCAAACCGTGTGATCGCACTGGGATGTGACAGATTTGTGGGGTGCTAATCCCAGAAGCCCTGTTGCTTCATACGAGTGCTTGGGATTCGTGGGAATTTGTCCTTCCGGCAGTGATTTGCCCCGGACCACCCCAGGGCTTAGAACCCCAAGCATCCGAATGAATTCACAGAGTTCGCGACGTCAGGGAAGCCCAAACCCTGTTCTTCCACTGGGATGCTTGAGATTTCTGGAGTGCTGATCACAGAGACTATGTTATTTCACTGGGATGCTTCGCGTTTCTGGAATTCTACTTCCCTGTAACAAAAAAAACTGTCGTGAAACAGCCCCCGCGTTCGGAACCACGGGAATCCCAGGAATCCCAAGCTTCCCAATGAAAGAGAGAGCGTGATCCACCGCCGCTTTACGGTGGAAAATTCCCCCCCCTCTTCCTCCGGAACCCGGGGGTCCCCCCGCCCCCGAAAATCCCCCCCCCCCCTGCTGGACCCCCCCCCTCCCCCCTTCCCCCCGGCAAAACCCCCCCCCTCCCCTAACCCCCCCCCCTCGGAAAACCGGGGGGTCACTACCGGTTCGAACCCCCCCCCCCCCTCCCCAGAAAACCAAAGAGGGGTCACTACCAGTTCGACCCCCCTCCCCCTCCAGAAAACCGGGGGGGGTCACGCCCGGTTCGACCCCCCCCCCGTTCGAAAACCAGAGAGGGGTCTCTACCGGTTCGAACCCTCCCCGCGGGGAGGGGGGGGGGTCACTATCAGTTCGAACCCCTCCCTCTCCCCCCACGCTCACCGCCAGCAAACAACTCTGGGTCCCTACCACCGTCCGCACCACATCCCCCACTGCTGTCCCCAGCACCACTGTCCTCACCACCACTGTCCCCACTATTCCCACCACCGTCACCACTGTCCTCACCAGTGCCCCCACCACGGTCGCACTGTCCCCACTGTCCCCACCATTCTCCCCACCACGGTTCCACTCCCCACGTTCTCTACGGCCCCGACCACTGTCCCACTGTCCCCACTGTCCCACTGTCCTACTGTCCCCACCGCTGTCCCACTGAGCATTCCCACTGTTCCCATCACTGTCCCCACCACTGTCCCCACTGTACCTCTGTCCCATAATCCCACCGCCGTCCTCGCCACCGCCCTCACCACTGTCGCCACCACCACTGTACCCTCCACTGTCCCACTGTTTCCACCACATTCCCACTGTCCCCACACCACTGTCCCCACCACCACCGTCCCCACCACTGTCCCAGTCCCCACTGTTCCCACTGTCCCCACCACTGTCCCTACTGCACCTCTGTCCCATTATCCCACCGCCGTCCTCGCCACCGCCCTCACCACTGTCGCCACCACCACTGTACCCTCCACTGTCCCACTGTTTCCACCACATTCCCACTGTCCCCACACCACTGTCCCCACCACCACCGTCCCCACCACTGTCCCACTGTCCCCACTGTTCCCACCATTGTCCCCGCTGTCCCCACCAGTGCCCCCACCAGTGTCTCACTGTCCCCACTCTCCCCGCCATTGTCCCACCACGGTCCCACTCTCCCCACTTTCCCCACGGTCCCCACCACTGTCCCACTGTCCCCACTGTTCCCACCACTGTCCCACTGTCCCCGCCGCTGTCCCACTGTGCTGTCCCACCGTCCCCACTGTCCCCATCACTGTCCCACTGTCCCCACTGTCCCCACCACTTCCCCCACTGTACTACTGTCCCACCACTGTCCTCACCACCGCCTTCACCACTGTCCCCACCACTACCGTCCCCACCACTGTCCCACTGTCCCCACCACTGTCCCGCTGTCCCCTCACCACTGTCCCCACCACCACCGTCCCCACCACTGTCCGCACCACTGTCCCACTGTCCCCGCACCACTGTCCCCACCACCACCGTTCCCAGCACTGTCCCAACATCCCCACCATTCTCCAACTGTCCCGAGGAGCGGGCATCGTTTGCCGGGGGCGAGGGGGGGGGATCGAACCGGTAGTGACCCCCCCGGGTTTTCGAGGAGGGGGGGGGAGGGGGGGGGGGTTCGAACTGGTAGTGACCCCTCTCCGGTTTTCGAGGGGGAGGGGGCGGGGGGGTTCGAACCGGCCGGTAGTGACCCCTCCCCCCCTTTTCATGATGGACTGGGGGGGGGTCGAATCGGTAGTGACCCCCCCTGGTTTTCGAGGGGGGGAGAGGGACGGGTTAGGAACCCCCAGTGACCCCCCCCGGTTTTCCGCCAGCAGCGGTAGAACACGCTCTTTCCAATGAAATGACATGGCTCCTTGAATCAAAATCACAAGCATCCCAATGAAACAGCACGGTGTGGGCGTCCCTGACTTCGCGATACCTGTGAATCCCACCAGCCCTCTCGGCGCAGGTGGTTTAACGAGATTCATCTTCCCTCGTCCAAAACAAAAATCCTCTTCCCCTACGGGGAGGGGTTTACCCCTCCCCTTACCCCTCCCCTGGACTTTTTTGGGGGGTTCCGCGAGGTGTCAG